CAAAGGAATCACTTGAGCCCAAGAGTTTGAAGTTGCCCTGAGCTGTAACACCATAGAACTCAACCCCAGGATAGCAGAGTAAGACTCTGTCTAGATTAGATAGACACATAGATAGAAAAACTAGCCTGGCATGGTGGCAGGTGCCTATAGTCTCAGCTACTGAGGCGAGAGGATTGTTTGAGCCCAAAAGTTTGAGGTTAATGTGAGCTATGATGCAGTGAGACTCTGTCTCTAAAAAGAAAAAAAACAAGAAATGGCTCGGCGCCTGTGGCTCAAGTGGCTAAGGCGCCAGCAACATACACCTAAGGTGGCGGGTTCGAATCCAGCCCACCCGCCAAACAACAATGATGGCTGCAACTAAAAAAAAAAAAAAAACAAGAAAGAAAGAAAAAGAAAAGACAGAAAAGGAAATCATTTCAAGGAATGGTCTAACTGTGACTCCAAAGGACTAAAGACATAGACTGATTTCAAGAAGTCCTCTTGAAGAGGTTTCCCACATGCCAAAGTAGCCCAAAACATAAAGTTAGTGACAGGCTCTGGGCAGATGTGAGAGCAGAAAGCTTTCATTTAGGTGTGCATATGACCCTCTGTGAAGCCCCACTACCTATGAGAATGTCTGTGCCAAGGCAAGCCCTGGCTAGTCAGCTCTGTAGACAACCTCGCCAAGGTGGGTAGAGCACATTGTTCTGGAGCCTGGGAGACCTACTGCTTGCCAAGCAACTGCTGGGCTAAAACCCAGGCTCTGTAGCCCTCATTGTAGAGAGAGAGAGAGCTTTCATGCATATCCATCCCTTGCCCTGGAGTCCTGCACTTAATCTGTACTCTGGGCCTTACTTGGTGTAAATAGAATCATTGTGAACAGAAATGCCAGACAGTGTTCTGTATTGATAGAAATCTATTCTGAAAGCAATGCTATTGTTTCCCTAACTAAATATTAATTCCTGTTTCCAAGCAGTTTGCTGATTAATCAGACAGGTGCCTCTCATTCCACCACCAAAAACAAAGTCTGTCAGCAAGATGATTAAGAATGGATAGGCATATTTCAAAATGATTAAAATAGCATGGTCCTTTAAACACACACCCTGTCCAAGCATGCCATCTGTTAATATCCAAGATGTCTCTAAAGGTACTTTTCAAGCTTTCCTCCCTAATAATGTCTCTGAAACTTCACAAGAGAATAAAAATAGAGGCAGCCAAGCCACTGTTGAGTCAGGAAAGATAGCAGAGATTATATTCTGGTTAAAAATAGGATGACCTTCTCCACTCTGAAGAGAAAATGAAATTCATTTAGTCAAGGAGACAAAGGTCACCAGATCCAGAAGATTTCACTTTTAAAAGAGCCCAGCTGCGCTCAGTGCCCATAGCTAAGTGGTTAGGGTGCCAGCCACATATACCAGGGCTGGCGGGTTTGAACCTGGCCCAGGCCTGCTAAACAACAATGACAACTACAACCAAAAAATAGCCAGACATTGTGGCAGGTGCCTGTAGTCCCAGCTACTTGGGAGGCTGAGGCAAGAGAACTGCTTGAGCCCAAAGAGTTTGAGGTTGCTGTGAGCTATGATGGCACAGCACTCTACTGAGGGTGACATAGTGAGACTCTTTCTCAAAAAAAGTGTCCAGCTGCCTTTGGTCTGTGAGTTGGGGACCCAACACATGGGAAGGGAATGAAGAAAGTGGCAGTAACCTGGCCTTCTCTAGAAGCATACTCACCAGAGGTAGGCTCTGTGTCAGCACATGTGAGTTATGATTCAGTGACACATGGGAAAGAATGAAGCAGCTGTCCTTGTTTGGGATGACAGAAATAAGTGATTGGACAGCATTCTCTCCCAATTGCCACTGGAATACCATTGGTAGGAAGGCCATAAAGAAGTCTCCTCTTACTGCACACATGCACGTTTCCTAGGTCTGGTGCCAAATGTTTTACAGATAAGGGCTAAGACCTGTGCTTCTGTAAGAGAGCACAAATACTGTAGAACTGCAGGATCACAGATGTTCTTTTATCCTCAGTACCTGGTCCAGTGCCTAAAATGTGTTTCTGGAGTACATGCGTAAATGTTTCTTAAATTGAATTGACAGATAAAACATTAAATAACATAAAAGAGGCTTTGATTCTAGCTGGACTCAGTGGCTCATGCCTGTAATCTTAGCACTTGGGGAGGCTGAGGTGAGTAGATTGTTTAGAAGTTCTAGACCAGCCTGAGCAAGAGCCAGACCCTGCCCTACTAAAAACAGAAAAACTTGGGCAGTGCCTGTGGCCCAGTGAGTAGGGCGCTGGCCCCATATACTGAGGGTGGTGGGCTCAAACCCAGCCCTGGCCAAACTGCAACAAAAAATAGCCGGGCGTTGTGGCAGGCACCTATAGTCCCAGCTATTCGGGAGGCTGAGGCAAGAAATCACCTAAGCCCAAGAGCTAGAGGTTGCAGTGAGCTGTGACACTATAGCACTCTACAGAGGGCAATGGAGTAAGACTCTTGTCTCTTAAAAAAAAAAAAAAAAGGGATGGGTGGTGCATGTGGCTCAAAGTGGGGCGCCGGCCCCATATACTGGAGGTGGTGGGTTCGGACCTGGCCGTAGCCAAAAACTGCAGGAGGAAAAGGAAAAAGGAAAGGAAAAAAAAGGGTGGGGGGGAAGCTCCAACTCGCTTGATGAATTGGTTACCTCTTTTATCTTTCAGAGTCGGAGTTGACTAATTTGGCAGGATTATACAGAGATGAACGATTGAAACAGAAAGCAGAGTCGCTGAAACTTGAAAACTGTGAAAAACTTAACAAACTTACTGGCCTACGCAGAGGTGGCTGAGAGGATACTGATCCTACGCAGGGTTGGGGTTTTGCTATTTCTTACTATTTATGTTCCTAATTCCATTTTATAATACAAAATTAGGAAATGACAAACATTTTACTATTACTAGCTTCATTTGTTGGGCAGAGTTGAGGGAGTGTGAACATGGAGCCAGACTTGTCATCACAGAATTTTTCCTGGGGATTGGCTCCAGGAGCCAGAAACAGTTCATCTAAGTTAAATTAATGGCAAAGCATTTGATTAAGTCTTTCTGCTCCATGCCAACCCTGCCTCTATGAATGTAGTTCAGGGAATCCCAGAGCAGATCCATGTTTTCTTCCTCTTCCCTTCTTCAGTGAAGTCTTACTACCTAGGCATTCTTAGGTTTAGCCAAAGGAGCTTAATTTTAGATATTTACAGTGTCTGCCAAGAATTATACCTCTCCCTTCATTAGGGTCATCATCTCCCCCAGGATTCAGCCTCTGCAACATATTCCTACTCAACTTTCCATTTTCAATAAGGAATATAGAGAAACTCAAGCTATTGTAATCAATAATTTTCTATTATCTCAATCTCTGTTCAGTAATAGCATTAGCAAACCACCTGATTTGAGTTATTTTTGTTTGTTTGGTTTCAGTTTTTGGCTGGGGCTGGGTTTGAACCCGCCACCTCTGGCATATGGGGCCAGTGCCTTACTCCTTTGAGCCCCAGGCACCGCCCCTGATTTGAGATTTTTTTATGTCCTTAACCCTCTTTCTTTTAGAGGGTCCAGAAATTAAAAACTATTGAGCTGGGGCGGCACCTGTGGCTCAAAGGAGTAGGGCGTGGCCCCATATGCCAGAGGTGGTGGGTTCAAACCCACCCCTGGCCAAAAACTGCAAAAAAAACACAAAAAACTATTGAGCTGTGAAACAGTTCGGTGGACAACTCAGGAAGCAAGGCCCAGGGGTGAAGGTAAAATGCAAGACCAAGTCTCTGCTCCTCAGTGCAGATTCCTCAGGCCATCATTGAACCCAGAAAATGTTCTTTTTTTGTCGTTCCTCTTGGAATCATCATTTGGTATCTCACACTTGAGCAGAGTTCCTACATCTCACACAGGTACAGAGTCAGACCCATAGAACACATTGCCAACCGTCCAGATTATTTGCTCAGGCCTAGAGGTAAAAGAGACAGATCCCCTCTCTGTGGCTACAGTGGTCTAGTATTTGTGGTCACTTTGTTTAACCAGTGCCCTATAGTTTGTGATATGAGATGCTTTTTCATTCATTTAACACTTATAGAGTGCCTACAATAAGGAATGAGCTCTCATTTATTTTCTTCCTCACAACTCTATGAAGTAGATGCATTATCTCTGTTTTTATGAATGAGAGCAAACATTAGCCCAGAGAGGATGAATGGTTGACCTGGGTCATACAGCAGATAGTAGCAGAACTAGATGGTAGGCTGATTATCAAGTAGAAAGTGGGAGAGATTATCCTCGTTTCTCAGATGATTCTAGCTAGATTGGCAAAGCAAAATCTCTTCCAAGGATGCGTCTGTCCCCTGTCCTTGAATCCTTTCTATGTCCTGGATCCATCCAATCCTGCATCCATCCAGGACAACTTCTCTGTGGGTCTTTAGGAAACTGGACCCTTTCTACACAAATTCTGCAAACAAAATAAGAGGCCCCTCAAATGCAGGCATCCCTTCCTACTGGTGACAGGAAAAGCTAAATCATTTCCTGGGCTGTGTGGTTTTTTCAGGCCTTCCTGTGGAGATGAGCTGCTAGGATTGAGCTGCCCAGATTATCTTGAATCTTTGAACTTGAAAGGATCGCTAGGTGAGTGTGGTCTACATTCTATGTTCTCTTTAGGTTGGAAGAAAAGTTTCTATTGGAAAAAGAGTCTACATTAAAACTGATTTCCAAAGTAAAGTTTCTTCATTCAGATGCATGCCCATGATTTAGACAACACTGTCTAGCATAGTTCATCATTAAACATTCCACAGTAGATGGGTTTATAGGTAAGGAATGGGGGTTTTGTAGGCCAGTAGCAGACAATGCTTAGTTTAGGGGGGGGAGCTTTTCTAGAAAAAGCCAGGTTTTGTAGCCCCGCCAAGCCTATTCTGGTTTTGAGGGACCTCCTTAACCCCCTCTAAGAAACTAAAGGATGTGCCCATGAGCCAAACAGGTTTATGGAAAGTTGTTTTCCTATACATACAAAAATCAAAGCTTTCCCCTCCCCAACCCCAACCTCTGCTAGAAAATGGGCCATAATGAAACTGAGTTGGCAGGCTAAAAGACCCTGCTCTAGTCACACAGTGATGAGTTACCTGTGATAATACAAAACAGAGGCAATAGTAATTACCTCCATTAAATGTTACGTCAGTTGTCTAGTTTTTATATCGCTGATGGTACTGTCTTATTACCAGCAGACCACAACACTCACATTGGTTTCTTTCAAGTGAACCATACTTTCTTTTGGTTGAAGAATAGTTTAATCTATGTGGTACTGTTCAGAATATTGTTAAACTATGATTTCCTGCCTGGTTTATGTTTTAGATGAGTTGTCTGCATGGTGGTAAAATAGCTTTTTCCTCTTGCCCACATCCTTTGGAAGATTTCCTGATCATATAAAAACTCTTTAGGTAAAGCTTATTCATGCTATCAGAACTTGGCACACAGCTCTAGACTGTTATTTTGGGCTATTACTGCAGATTGGAGACATCTGTGATAGGAGTGGGGCTCAGAAATAAGGCTGAAGCTCTAGCAGAAACTGAAGCTCTCATTCAAATGAAAATGCTCTCTGTAGTGAGGCAGGAAGGATGAAAAAAATCCTTCTCAACACAAAAACACTGCGGCTTGAAGGAATCTGTGTCCCCAGATTAGCAACTGTAGGGCTCATCTATTCAAGCCAGAAAACTTCTAAGCTTCCTTGATAAGCTCCAGGCCTCATGATTTGGGAGAAGTGACCAGTAAGAAGATGCTGTTCCTGGCTCGGCACCTGTAGCACAGTGATTGCAGTGCCAGCCCCATGCACCGAGGGTGACAGGTTTGAACCTGGCCCAGGCCAGCTAAACAACTGCAACAACAACAGCAAAAAAATAGCCAGGCATTGTGGCAGGCACCTCTAGTCCCAGCTGAGGCAAGAGAATCGCTTAAGCCCAAGAGTTTGAGGTTGCTGTGAGCTGTGATGCCACAGCACTCTACCAAGGGCAACATAGTGAGACAGTCTCAAAACAAAAAAAAAAGAAGAAGATGTCATTGCTGTGCTTTGTGTTGGAAACTGTTAGAAATTACAGTAAGTGCCAGACGCCACAGAAACATGGGATCCAACAGTCTGGTCAAGCTATGTGTTATTCTCATTTTCATCCTCATACTCAGGACTGGCTTTGTGAGGAACCACTGCTGGGATGCCAGCAGCTTTCTGTTACAACTGGCTACACATGGAAGTTCATTGTTTCTGCATGCACTGCTCCTCACAGGAGCTAGTACTTAATTTATGTTTATTTTAGACTCATTTAAGATGTAAGCTTAGTGTCCTAACATATTTATTTTTGGAAAGGGCCAACTTATGAAACACCTTATTTTTGGAGCCTGCTTTGTTAATACTTCATGCAGTGACCACCAAGTAAAGACTCGTGTGTTAAATATTGATTAACATCACGCACATCATACTCAGTGTTTGAAACTAAAGATGTGAATATTCTGTGTCCAGAGCCAGGGATGACACAGATGGGATCAGCTCCTGGTGGAGTAAGAGTCCTCAAAAATCTGTTCACCTAATCCACTGCATCTGGATTGAGTGTATTTTAAAAAGACAAACATTAAATGATTTTATATAAAAAGAGTGGCTTTATATTTTTCCTTTGTACCTTTGCCCAGCGTACCCATGGGCACTGAAGATTGCTTGACTCCCTTGGAGCCACTTTGAACTAGAGAAGCTATTGATCTCTGCTTCAATTTTCCCTCACCCATAGCGGAAATTATTTGTGTTTAGAACAGCTTTGGTGGCATTGTCAATTCCATACTTTTTCTCTCAGATAACAGCAGCTGCAGCATATCACCATGCTTAGCCTTAGGGAAAATTTTTTTAAAACTTAGAAAGCAGAGTGGGTCAGTGGGTAGGGCATGGTGGCAGGTTCAAACCCAGCCCCAGCCAAACTGCAACAAAAAAATAGCCAGGCGTTGGGGCAGGCGCCTGTAGTCCTAGCTACTTGGGAGGCTGAGACAAGGGAATTGCCTAAGCCCAGGAGTTGGAGGTTGCTGTGAGCTGTAATGCCATGGCACTCTACTGAGGGTGACAAAGTAAGACTCTGTCTCTACAATAAATAAATTAAATTAAATTAAATTGGAAAAAAAAACCAAACTTAAAAACCAGTGGCTCACACCTGTAATCCTAGCACTCTGGGAGGCCAAGGCCATGGCACTCTTCTGAGGGTGACAAAATGAGACTGTCTCAAAAAAAAGGGCAGTGCTGTGGCTCAGTGAGTAGGGCACTGGCCCCATATATCAAGGGTGGCAGGTTCAAACCCTGCCCCGGCCAAACTGCAACAAAAAATAGCCAGGCGTTGTGGTGGGCGCCTGTGGTCCCAGCTACTCAGGAGGCTGAGGCAAGAGAATCGCCTAAGCCCAAGACCTGGAGGTTGCTGTGAGCTGTGACTCCACGGTACTCTACCAAGGGCAACAAAGTAAGACTTTGTCTCTAAAAAAAA